GCCACGTAAGCTGAGTTCTTGTTCTTTCGTTCTTTTTCTCCACCTTTCGCTCCGCTCTTCGTTTCCGCTTCGCTCTCTCGTTTCTTGTTTGTTTCTTTTCTAGTTTCTTCCTGTCTTTCTTCCTTTCCTCGTTATTGCCTTTCGTTGACTGTAACTACTATTTCTTTGTGTGTGGGTCGGACTCTACCCTGACAGTTCCGGATGAGTTTTCCCTGAGGATTCATCGTGGGGTCTTCGAAAGTTCCTTATGTATTATAATCGCCGACTTAAAAATTGTAAGTAGGTTGAATTACCTACAATCTTCCAGTTTTCTGTACGCCAGCCATCGATCCAGCAGGGATTGGATGATGGCAGAGGGGTCCTCGGGAGGGCACCGCATAGAATAACCACATAAGTCAGTATACTGAGCAAAAACGGCTTTTCAAATTACCCGCGGGAATAATCGCCTACTTACAAATTTTAAGTAGGGTCAATTGCCAAAATATTTAATTTGGTTCATTCGTTCGTCTTTATTCTAGTTGGGGTTAGTGGTACTACCAGGGAATATACCTCAATGACATCGTCCGAGGTCGGGGCACACTCCCCTGACATAAACACGCTCGCCGTTGGACCGTTGGTGTGTTGGCGATGATATTAATGCTTGCTTCAGTGTCCCAGCCCGAGGTTTGAGTACGCGACCCATCTTACCCCCATAGCTTTCTTATTTTACAGGATTATTGCGAGCTAATTTGTTCCTCTTCCCGTAAGACCGAAGGGCGCGCCCAGCGCTCCCCCCAGGTGGCCCCACAAGGTAATCCTACCGAGTTTTCTTCCACTGCCTTGTAGGATCTCAAAGTGCGAATCCCCATTTGCTGTGGCAAAGAAAGGTTAGTGGGTCCTCGACCTGCAGCAGAGTACCTCAGTGAGAATCCCACTCGCCTTGTCGCCTTCCCATCCATCCATATGCGCCTTCTGCCCAGCCTGAAGCCACATGATTGCCTCGAACCGGAAGAGGTATTCTTCTGCGGAACCTGCAACAAAGTCTATGCAGCGCCTGTCCTTGAGGCCTTTCAAAAGCGTGTCTACGAGCTCGAGGAAAAGTACGCAGGTTCGTGCATTCCGATCCTTACACTCTTCTAAGCTTCGTACAAAGGCTTGCTCAAAATTGGAGTTGGCAGTTTAGCGTACATTTAGTCTCCTTGTTTCGATCTTCTGAGGAAGGTTTATTCCGTGACAACCTTCTAGTAAGGAAGCCTATATGTCTATTTTATTTATCGAAATATTCCCTATGCTATTTAATAGGACAGAACCAGGCCTCTTGTTTTGAGCAAAAAAAGTTTAAAATATATCACTTCCAAAACTGGAACATCTGTTTGCTGAAAATAAGTTGAAGGCAAGTTTAAGGAATCACACTGCTATTCAGAAACTAAGATAAAGTTCAGTCTTAATTATTAACTCTTGCTCATGTCGGAAGTTTTTTGTAAAAAACGCTGAAAAAATTGTTGACTGTTTTTTAATTTACAGCATCCAACCTTTGGTATCCTTAACAAAAGCGGATTTATTTTTTCTTGTATGTGAGCAAACGAGACACCAGTGGGCTGTTGTACGTAACTGCTGTCTCGGCAAAGCTAACCGTCAACGAAAAGCGAGCAACAGTTATAGGGGGGAGGAATCAATCAACCGTTGTAGGAGGAAGTGTCATGGGGACGCGAACGGTGACGTTACATGTCGGACTCCCCATTTCTGCCATAACTGGTGGAACAGTGATGATGTAAACTGGGTGCCATTGTCGGTCACAATCTCTTTAGGGATGCCATATCTGGAGATAGGTTCCTCCACCTTTTTCTGCTGTGACCTCCGCGGTAGCTGCCGCAACATCGAAAACTTCCAGCCACTGACCACGCATCAACTACTACTATAAACATTCGATTGAATAATGGCCCAGCAAAGTCCATATGGACTCGACTCCACGGTCTTATCACCACTGAACATGGCACAGGTTGTTCTTTCGGAGAATTTTTAGTCTCAAGTGCACATGGGCAGCAAATTCACACGAAAGATTCTACAGCATCATCAATTCCTGGCCACTATCCTTATCTCCGGGCCAGTTGTTTCACACGGGTCATGCCTTGATGTCCGGCGTGGAGTTCACGTAAAATCGATTGTTTATACCTTGATGGGATCATCATTCTGCCGTCATAAATGATGCACTCTTCGGTTATATACAAATACTCTTTCCAGCTCCTGAAGGGCTTTATGGCTGGGTGTATCTTGTCTTCCTTGGACCAACCCGTTCGAATAAAGTCCTTTACCTGACGTAATAAAGGATCTGCTGCGGTGGTTGCCATGATGTGTTCGGCCGTGAGAGGTAGCTGTCGGATAACACCTCTAAACTCGTCGTCGTCTTCTATAGAAGCACTTGTGACCACAATATCTTCCTGGTGTTCGTCAACTCCACTCAGTCGTGATAAAGCGTATGGTGTTCCAACTTTCTGAGTGAGAACGTACTGGATTGTGAAGTCATAACTCAGGAGAATAGTACTCCACCGGTGTATCCACTGTGGCACACCACGATTCATGCCCAATAAAAATTTGAGTGATTGGTGATCGGTGTGAAGCACAAAGTGTCTTCCGTAAATGAATTGGTGAAACTTCTTTACTGCAAAGATAAGTTCCAGGGCCTCTTTCTCGATTTGAATGTAGTTTCTTTCCGCTTTTGTGAGCGATCGTGCGACATGCATTAGGGGTAGGATATTTTCATCTGTACCTTTCTGAAGAAGAACGTTACCTAGCCCATACTCCGATGCATCCGAATGGACTATAGTTTTTTTCGTCGGCTTCGAAATATGAGAGCACAGTCGACTCACTAATCTTCGCCTTTATTTTGTCAAAGGCGTCTTGACAGTCAGAAGACCATTCAAATTTCGCATCTTTACAAAGTAGCCAGTTTAACGGTGCCTTTAGACCATGCAGCCCCGCAAGGAATGGGGAGTAGTAGCTGACCAGACCCATGAATGCTTGTAGCTCTCGAACATTGTGGGACACCTTCACATTCTTAAATGCGGCAACTCTCTCTGGATCGGGTGAACGTCCTGCCTTGCTTACCACAAAACCCAAGTATTGGATTACTTTCCGCAGGAACTCGCTCTTTTCCATGTTGATTTTTAGGCCATAGCCGATAAGATTTTCCATGACCTTGTCAGGTCTGCCGAGCAACTCCACGTCAGTACGACTGACAACCAAAATGTCATTCAGATATGCCACAGTTCTAGGGACATTTGTAAGCATGATGTACATTAACTGCTGACGCCATAATTAAGGCGGGTATATTTGAACAACCACTTATGTGTGTTAATGGTCAGCTTTTCCTGCCCTGCTTCATCAACTGGTAACTGTACGTATGCCTCTGAAAGGTGAATCCTCGCGAAAATTTTCCCTCCATTAAGGGTGGCAAATATGTGGTCTACAGTCGGCAAGGGATAGTGATAATCTTCCAATGGGTCATTTAGCCCGGTCGAGTAGTCTGCGCACAGTCTTATCCTACCGTTAGGCTTCTTTACAGCGACTACGGGAGTAGCCAATGCTGAATAATTTGTGAGACAGCTTATGCCTTTCTGTTGCAAGCGCTCCTGTTCTTCCTCGAACTCTGTTTGTACGGCAAATGGGACGCGTCTATTCTGTCTAAAGACTGCCTTTTTTCCCAAGTTTTGCCCTCTAGCTTACTGTAGTCTTTGTACACGTTCCGGCTGACATCTCTATCCGCTCGGCATGCTTCTGCTCCAGGTTCTCTTCTGTAATGGTTACCGCTCAGCATATCTCCTGGAATGGCCGATTCCAGGTGACACATTTGAGGCCCCGACACCCAAGGCAGATACGAAGTCGCCACCACCAATTCATCCAAAATCGAGTTTTCAAGCAGAACGTTTTATTAATCACGTCAAGAGATATGTGAGGAAGATGTAAGACACAGGCGTCCGAAGGAGGCATAGAAAAATACAACTGCCTAAACACCTCATCGTGGACCGGGGCAGGAAGAAGTATAAAGTC